TTTCTCCATTTTGTTTTCAAGGTTTTTGATCATCTTTACTATCATTATTCTGAATTCTTTTTCAAGTAGTTTGCCTATTTCTTCTTCATTTATTTGGAATTCTGTGTTTCTAGTTTGTTCCTTATTTGTGTAGTATTTCTCTGCCTTTTCATTATTTTTTTTTAACTTATTGTGTCTGATGTCTTCTTTTCCCAGGCTTCAAGGTTGAATTCTTTCTTCCTTTTGGTTTCTGCCCTCCTAAGGTTGGGGCTTCCCTGGTGGCTCAAACGGTAAAGTGTCGGCCTGTAGTGCGGGAGACCTGGGTTCGATCCCTGGGTTGGGAAGATCCCCTGGAGAAGGAAATGGCAACCCACTCCAGTACTCTTGCCTGGAAAATTCCATGGCCTGAGGAGCCTGGTAGGCTACAGTCCATGGGGTTGCAAAGAGTCAGACACGACTGAGCGGCTTCACAAGTCACAAGGTTGGTCCAGTGGTTTGTGTAAGCTAGGGTGAGATTTGTGCAGAGTTTTTGTTTGTTTGTTTTTCCTCTGATGGGCAAGGCTGAGTGAGGTGGTAATCCTGTCTGCTGATGGCTGAGTTTGTATTTTTCTTTTGTTTGTTGTTTAGATGAGGCATATTGCACAGGGTGCTACTGGTGGTTGGGTGATGCTGGCTCTTATATTCAAGTGGTTTCCTTTCTGTGAATTCTTACTATTTGATACTCCCTAGGGTAAGTTCTCTGGTAGTCTAGGGTCTTGGGAGTCAGCTCCCACTCCAAAGGCTCAGGGCTTGATCTCTTTCAGGAAAACTTAATTGATCCACAAATCTAACTGACATTTGAACATGCATGCTCCTGTTATGGCTCACAGATGATGTCAGGCTCTGTCCACCACAATTCTTCAAATGAAAGTCTTGCTTGGCCAACAGGAAGTAAACAATCAGGAGATAGAGATCAGCTGAGCTCTGCCTCACCTGAGCTTCAGGATAAACAGTAAATACAGTACAATAGTCCGATGGTCTCTTTGATAATCTTTCCTGTCTTCACCAAGTATTTGGAAATTTTAGGATACAGTCAAGGCAGTACTCAGATGAATATTTATAGCTATAAACACCTGTGGCACAGGAGGGCTCCCCAGCTCCTACTCCCTGAATCCTCTTTCTCCTCCTCCCCTCCTCTCTCTCTCCCTCAGTCTCTGCCAGGCACGCGTGGTGCCAGTTGGTCCTGACCTGACCAGAAAGAGAACAGGGTGGGAGGGGGTGGTGGCAGTGGTGACCAGCAGCCACTGAGATCACTTCCATAATTTCTCTTTTTGATAGCCTGTTGTTAGTGTATAGAAATGAAACAGATTTCTGTATATTAATTTTGTATCCTGCAACTTTACCAAATTCATTGATAAGCTCTAACAGCTTTTTGGCAGCACCTTTAGAATTTTCCATGTGTAGTATTATGTCATCTGCAAACAATGATAGTTTTGCTTCTTCCTTTCCAATTTATATTCTTTATATTTCTTTTTTTTGTCTGCTATGACTAGGACTTCCAATACTATGTTGAATAAAAGTGGTGGGAGAGTCAGCATCCCTGTCTTGTTCCTGATCTTAGAGGAAATGCTTTTAGCTTTTTACTACTGAATAATGCTGTTAGCTGTTGCGTTATCATGTATGATCCTCCATACATAGTCTGCTGAGAGTTTTACTGTAAATGGATGTAGAATTTTGTCAAAAGCATTCTGCACCAAATGAAATACACGTATCTCTATAATGTTTTGCAACAGTTTGAGAAGAGTAAGTGTTAATGCCTCTCTAAACATTTTGTAGTATTCACCTGTGAAGTCATCTGGTCCTGGACTTTTGCTTTTTATGATTAAAAAAAAATACTGATTCAATTTCATTACTGGTAGGTACAAAATATTATCTAAAATATCTATTTGTTTTAAAATTATAAGACATACAAAGAAACAGGAAAATTCCACCTATGCTGGGGAAATAGCAAACAACAGAAACTGTTTGTGAGAGGATCCAGATATGGGACTTAGCAGGCCTTACAGCAGCTATTATAAATATGTTCAAAAACTACCAAGCTTAAGGAAGCAAATATTAGTATGAAGGCAGATCATCACATAGACAGTAAGAATAGAGACAAATAAAAATTCTAGGTTTGAAAATTATAATAACTGCAACAGAAATTCACTGGAAGGATTCAATAGTAGATTGGTGCTTACAGGAAGAAGATTTAGTGAAAAGTGAAGATAGCTCAACTAACAAAATGCAATCTAAGGAACAGAGAAAGAAAATATAAAGAATAAAGCCTCAAATAAGTGAAGGACACCACTAACTGCATTAACATTCATAATGGAAGTACCAGAACGAAAGGAAAAAGACCAAGGAGCAAAAAAAGTATTCAATGAAATGATGGCAAAAATTTGGCAAATGTAAAGAAAAACATTAATCTGCAAATTCAACAAGATGAACTCCAAGTGGGATAAACAGAGAGATGCATCATAGTAAAAATATTTAAGAAACAAAGACAAAACTTAAAATCAACAAGAGAAACACAACTATTAACATACAAGAAACTCCAGTAAGATTAACACTTGACTTCCCATCGGAAACAACAGAGTCCAGGAAGTGGGATGACATTTTCAGTATGCTGGGGGAAAATGTGTTCTAGTTCTAAATTTTTAGCGGGGCCTCCATACTGTTTTCCATAGTGGTTGAACCAATTTGCATCTTAACCAATGGTGTACAAGGGTTCCCTTTTCTCAACATTCTCGCCAACACGTTATTATCTCTTATCTTCTTGATCAGCCATTCCAACTGGTGTGACATGGTATCTCACTGTGCTTTTGATTTGCATTTCCCTGATGATTAGTGATGCTATCTTTTCAGGTACCTGTGGGCATTAAAAATACTATTTCTATGACTCATTAAGATGCATTATTTTTCCATTACTATACTCTCAGCTCTTAAGAGTACAGTAACTACTCAAAAATTATTTGAGTCAAAAAAATGAATGTATGAAAGAATAGCTAATAACAGCATGAATACAGAGCAATGGAGGTTGTAAGCTGACCAACTGAAGCTGCTTTGAGAATCAGAGTAACCAAGGAAAGCAACAATAAAATGAGGTGCGCAAAAACTGGATTACTGGCAAATATAAGAATGATAAATATTCAAAAAGTGAATAAAAAAAGAACATTTTTAATAAGAGTGGTATCTGGAGACTTCATTCAAAAATTAGTATTTTAAGTCACTTCTAAGTATTAGGACCTCTAAAGTGATATTCTTAAAAAAAAAAAATTTCAAAGTTAACCTCTAATCAGAGGAAGATAATAAATTGCCTGATGTTCACTTGTTTAATACACATTAACTCACCTGAGAAGCTTTGGCTTGGGAATTCTTCCTCCAATATCCATGGCTCTTCTCCTTGCTCCAGTCTGAAGATCACCTCTGGTTTGGTAATACAATACCCTGTCAAAGTGAAATAATTTACGATGTGGACTGGGTGGCCTAGATTTCAGGGCCTCTGAAACAGGAGGAAGCTTCTAGAGCTGCTCAATGAAGGTGCCATTGAACATTTCACTGGAGAAGCAAACACAAGTATCTTCCTGGTGCCCTAAAGTGACCTGTAAACATTGAGTCTTGAATTCCAATCTTAAATATCATTAAACTTCTCATGATGTCCATAAGCTTCTTTTTATTTTCCCATTTATTTTTATTAGTTGGAGGCTAATTACTTTACAATATTGTGTGGGTTTTGTCATACATTGACATGAATTAGCCATGGATTTACATGTATTTCCCATCCCGATCCCCCCTCCCACCTCCCTTTCTACCCTATTCCTATGGGTTTTCCCAGTGTACCAGGTCCGAGCACTTGTCTCATGCATCCAACCTGGGCTGGTGATCTGTTTCACCCTTGATAGTATACTTGTTTCAATGCTGTTCTCTCTGAACATCCCACCCTCGCCTTCTCCCACAGAGTCTAAAAGTCTGTTCTGTACATCTGTGTCTCTTTTTCTGTTTTGCATATAGGGTTATCGTTACCATCTTTCTAAATTCCATATATATGTGTTAGTATACTGTAATGGTCTTTATCTTTCTGGCTTACTTCACTCTGTATAATGGGCTCCAGTTTCATCCATCTCATTAGAACTGATTCAAATGAATTCTTTTTAATGGCTGAGTAATATTCCATGGTGTATATGTACCACAGCTTCCTCATCCATTCGTCTGCTGATGGGCATCTAGGTTGCTTCCATGTCCTGGCTATGATAAACAGTGCTGCGATGAACACTGGGGTGCACGTGTCTCTTTCAGATCTGGTTTCAAAAATATGGAACGCTTCACGAATTTGCCTGTCATCCTTGCACAGGGGCCACGCTAATCTTCTCTGTATCGTTCCAATTTTAGTATATGTGCTGCCAAAGCGAGCACCATAAGCTTCTTAATTAAAAGAATTTTTTTGTTACAACTTTGTGGCCAAGATGAGCCCTACAAAGAGGATCTGATTTAATACTCTTATGCATGTATTATTACTTTATGCTTTAGTCTGTTTGGGCTATTGTAACAGAATACCATAGACCAGGTGGCTTTAAAAACAGGAATTTACTTCTCACACTCTGGAGGCTGGGAACTCAGAGATCAAGGTGCCAGTATGGTCAGAATCTGGTGCAGCCTCACTTCCTGGTTTGCAGAACACACCTTTTTGCTGTGTCCTCACAAGGTGGAGAACACCAAAAGATCCCTTTTCTTCTCCTGTTTTTGTAAATGCATTAATCCCACCAAGAGGATCTAATAATTCAATCTAACACTACTTGAGGATTGGAGTTTAAAAGAATTTTTAAATACCATTTAGAATTACATCATAAACCAACCTTACCCACTGAGACAAGGTTCCTGTAGTTCTCCAGCATCACATCTCTATACAAGGACCTTTGGGTTGAATCCAGGTGCTGCCACTCCTCCTGGGTGAAGCCCACAGTCACGTCTTTAAAGGATACTGATCCTTGGAATTTCGGTTCAATCTGAAATATTCAGAATTAAGATGACATGGGAAAGATGTATGGAAGCAAATCCCTACCATGATTATTGTTTACAGGTTACCAAACTGGTTTGCAGAATGTTCCTTTTGCTTTATACTCTGGGAGAAGAAATCACAATAGAAATATTCTGTAAACCAATTTGCATTAATTATTAATTCTCAAGTTTCCACAATGGATCTGGAACTATTCTAGTTCTTGGAAATATTAAGATTAGTAAAAACCATCCTGTATTCAATAAGTATATAATCTGGTAAGAAAACATGCAGTAATATGTTACAAATACTGTGGCTGAAGTACACACTCAATAGATTAATGTAAATAAGAAGCAAAACTACTTCTGTTTTGAGCTTCACTGAGGAAGAACAGCTACTGAATAAACAGTAACACTGTGTTCTTCATGAATATAGGGTCACTGCACAAGCAAAGACTAGGGCCCTCTAACATCCTCAGGAAATGAGTAACAAGGCAAACAGCATAGGAGTTGAGATAAGAAAAAGGGCCACAGAAGTACTCAAGAAATGCACTATACAGTGACTTTAGACCAGCAGACTCCAAAGTATGTGATCACTTTCCACTTTAAAGAATACTTTTGAACACTACAGAAGTTTGTCTACAAACCACAGAAACAAACTAACAAGAAATGTATTACAAACTTTATTCTTATTTAGACTTAAGACTGTAGGTAAAATCTAGTATGCTATTTCACTACAATACATATCTTAGGTTCTAATTCTTCCATTCAGAGACAATAATTAGGATGTGCAGCAGATGACACAGGAGAAGATATTCAATTAAATTGTTGTCGATTTCATTCAGAGTGGAAAAAAAAAGAAGAAAAGGGCATGTCAGCCTACTCCAGCATTCTTGCCTGAAGAATCCTGTGGACAGAGAAGCCTGGTAGGCTACAGTCCATAAGATCATGAAGAGTCAGACACAACTGAGCAACTAACACAACACTAGAGTGCATGCCTCTACTTTAGGCATCACTGTTGCAGAGAAACAGCTGCCAAAGGAGACATTCAACAGTATACTGAAAATACATGACTAAGTTTTTATTTCAGACCAATTCTCTGTTTTTAAAAAGGGAATGGAAAGCAAAAGGACAAAACAACCCACTTACATAAACTTGAAACTTGGATGCAAATAGTGAAGTGCAAGTCTCTCAGTTGTGTCCAACTCTTTGCAACCCCATGGACTATACAGTCCATGGAATTCTCCAGGCCAGAATACTGGAGTGGGTAGCCTTTCCCTTCTCCAGAGGATCTTCCCAACCCAGGTGCTGAACCCAGGTCTCCTGTGTCTCCTGAATTGCAGGCAGATTCTTTACCATCTAAGCCACCAGGAAAGCACAAAAGGTTTAGAAATTAGATACAAGTTCAATATAACAAATATCAGAATATTAAAATTTTTAAAGGTATAACAAACATCAAGTGTGAAAAATATAGAAGTCTTTACAAAAAATATAATGAAGGAAAATAAGAAGACCCAAATAAATAGAAGGATGTAAGAAATTCCTGGATAGACAGGCTCAGTATTATAAAAATATAAATTCTCTCTATGCTGATATAAAAATTCATACCAATTTCAAAAAAATTCCAGACAAGCTAATTCTAAACTTTGTGAAAATGCAAAGGGTAAAAATACACAAAACAATCTTAAAGAAAAATTAAGCCATAAGGAGTACCATCTATCAAGTATAATATATTATCAATGTATCATAATTAAAATATTGTGATATAGGCACAAGAATTTTCAAATGCATCAACAGAATGGAAGAGTCCAAAATGTATGTATGTCACTTGATTTTTGACAAGGATAACAGAAGGACAACCATTTCAATAAACAGTGTGTTTAATTATAGTGAGCATTCATGGCTATCTTAACTGTAAACAGAAATCCATTTTAGACAGTATATAGATCTAAATTTGAAAAATTAAAACAATAAAAATTTTAGCAAATACCATAAGAAATACCTTCATGACACTAAGAATAAGCAAAGACTTCTTAAATAGGATGCAAATTACATTACTAACTCTACAATATTAAGATCATACCCTTACCAAAAGACAGAAAGAAAATAAAAGTACAACACAAAGTGGAAAGAGACATTTGGAACACATATATCTTACAAAGAAGTCCTATCTCTAATACAGAAAGACTTTTTTTAAAATTAATGAGGACAAAAATGCAGGCCATCTTGGTAACAAACCTGACAGCAAATTTCTCAATAGAAACCTTGAAAGTGAGAAGACACTGGATAACAATTTGAATGGGCAACTTGCAAATTAGAAAATAAAAATGGAATGTCATTATAAAAGAGGTAGGAAAAATGTCACCAGAAAATTCTAAATCCAGAAATAATATTCCTCTAAAATGAATATATTTCCCACATAAAGTTTGAAAAAATTGTCAGTAATACACATAAGTCAAGAAATACTACAGGTAAGGAAAATGATATCTGATGGGAAAACATGTCAATGTATGGCAAAAACCACTACAATATTGTAAAGTAATTAGCCTCCAACTAATAAAAATAAATGGAAAAAAAATTAAAATTAAAAAAAAAACTTCAGGAAGAAATAAATAAAACTGAAAATGGAATTTAAAGCAACAAATAATGTCTCTTGGAATCTATGAAAAACACTGAAAGTAAAATACATCAAAACACTAGCAACAGGATAATTAAACTGCTTAAACATTCTGGCACTGTCTGTGAAGAGGTAAAGCACTAACTTAAGGTAAATGAAAGTAAGAATTCTGTAAAGGAAAAGTTCAGCTCCTCTCTTTTACTCTACTCAGGTCACCAAAGTAGTGGGACCTTTTTCCATCCCAAGTGATTAACTCAATTCTGAAACTACAGTATCAGATTCCAGGCTCAGTTCCATGTGACATCATTGCTACTTCAGACACCAACTGCAAACCCACTGGATAAAAATCAAGGCTCCCACACCCTCTTTGTTCAGTTTAATAATCTGACAGTGTGGCTCACAAAACACAGAAAAATAATTTACTTACTAGATTAATGGGTTAACATAAAAGGATAGAACCCAGAAATATCCAGATGCAAGAGATACACAAAGCCCTAAGGATGGGTAAAAGGGTACAAAACTTCCATGCTCTCTGAACTCACTACCTTTCCAATAATACCTCCACATGTTCAACAACCTGGAAGCTCTCTGAATCCCGTAAGCTCACGGATTTTTATCAAGATTACATTACATATGCAAGACTGAACAAATCACTGGTCAACGGTGGCTAATTCAGCCTCAAGCCACTCTCACTCCTCCTCAGAGGTTGGGAGGTGGGGCTGAGAATTCCAACCCTCTAATCATATGGTATACTGCAGCCATGAAATTAAAAGACGCTTACTCCTTGGAAGGAAAGCTATGATCAACCTAGATAGCATATTAAAAAGCAGAGACATTACTCTGCCAACAAAGGTCTGTCTGGTCAAGACTATGGTTTTTCCAGTAGTCATGTATGGACGTGAGAGTTGGACTGTGAAGAAAGTTGAGCACCGAAAAATTGATGCTTTTGAACTGTGGTGTTGGAGAAGACTCTTGAGAGTCCCTTGGACTGCAAGGAGATCCAACCAGTCCATCCTAAAGGACATCAGTCCTGGGTGTTCATTGGAAGGACTGATGCTGAAGCTGAAACTCCAATCGTTTGGCCACCTCATGCGAAGAGTTGACTCATTGGAAAAGACCCTGATGCTGGGAGGGATTGGGGGCAGGAGGAGAAGGGGACGACAGAAGATGAGATGGCTGGATGGCATCACCGACTCAATGGGCATGAGTTTGAGTAAACTCTGGGAGCTGGTGATGGACAGGGAGGTCTGGCGTGCTGCGATTCACGGGGTCACAAAGAGTCGGACACGACTGAGCGACTGAACTGAACTGAAATGAATCATATGGCTGGTTCTCCTGGTACTCAGTACCTCATTCTTGACAGACATTTCAAAAGTCACTTCATTAACATAAACTCGGGTATGGCTGAAACAAAAAACACCATCTTAAATGTTCTGGAGCTATTTCAGGAACTGGGGAAAAAAAAACTCAATATTATAACAACAGATTTCCCTATAGCTTTTATCACTTAAGATATTATTAGTTTTAGGAGCTAAGTTAAGAAGCCCTGCGGGAAAATCAACATACATATTTATTATAATAACAATATCATAAATGCAAATTATAGTATCTAGAGTAAAACCTAAAAGAATGTGAAACTATATAACTTAAAAGCTACTAGATACAAAAAGAAAATGCCTATCAAAAGGAGAATGGGGAAGATGGCAGAGCAGTAAGATGGGGAGATAACCAGCCTCTGCACAAATACATCAAAAACTCATCAAGATATGAAACAACTTCTACAAAGCATCCTTTAGGTGACCGCAGAAGACTCCGGCCTCCAGGGGGACAGGCTAAGCTCCCTGAAATGAGGTAGGAGAGAGGACGGAGACATAAAAAGGGAAAAGATGGGGACCACCCTGGTGGCCCAGTGGCTAAGACACTGCATTTCCAATGCAGGAGGCCTGGGTTCAATCCCTGGTCCAGGAACTAGATCCCACGTGCGGCAATTAAAATATCCCTCGAGCAGCCAAATAAATAATTTTTTGTTTGTTTGTTTTTTAAATGGAAAAGATGGAGAACCCGCAAGAACTTATGCCCCAAGGGAGGGAGGGAGCCCTGAAACATCAGGAGTCCCCATGCACAGGGAAATATCCCTCATAGGCGGGCCCAAGGGGGAGCTTCAAAGTCTCGGAAAACTAGGCAAAGCAGGGACTTAGAAGGCAGTAAACAGAGAAAACTGCTCTTCTCAGCCTGTTGGCAGTTCATTGACTGTGGCCCCAAACAGAAGGCAAGCATGGGGAACCGAGGGTGGTGCAGCATGCAAGCCCAGCCAGGGCACAGCCCTTGCAGCACAGAGGGCTGGCCCAGGTGGCCTAGTGTGATGCGGCAGACAAACACAGCTGGCGCAGAGTG